AAGAGCGGATAATGTAAGAGGAAAGAAAAGAGTGTAGAGGGGAATAAAGAAAAATTTTGCCAGGAGCCTAGAGATGGAACTGGACGTCTACTGCAGAGCAAGGGCCACTCTGTGGGACAAGGTAGAGCAGGGTATTAACAAAACAAAAAGGAAAGCAAAGCAAAAGATAAAACAACAACAACAAAATAAAACAAAAAACAACCCTGCCTACCTCTCTGGGGAGTGGGGTCCTGGTCTTGGGAGCCTGGAATTGGAACAGGGGGCATTGGTGCCCCTGCCTCAGTTTCCCTTGCTGGCCAGGAGCCTAGAGATGGAGCTGGAGGTCTCCTGAAGAGCAAGCGCCGTTCTGTGGGACAGGTGAGAGCAGGGTATTAACCTACACTATTTAATTTTAATTTTAGAGTTCTTGTCTTTTTTATCTGTTCTTGCAATCTGTTTTGCATATTTTTGCTAATTTTAGCCATTTTCATTCTGAGTAGGAAGGCTGACTAAAACACTTCCTCAAAATCTTCACGTTTAATATCACAGATTATAATATCATTGTAAATATCCTTTAAATGGTCATGTTTTAAAACAGACAAAAATAAAGGATCAGGATTCAGATAAAACATGTTTCCTGTTTATTCTTTACTGATACAGCATTCAACTTAAAAACAGTTTAAACTAAGTATTTTAATGAAATTGTAGGCATTAGAGGTAAAATCCAATGGACTAGAGAATAGTCTTTGTATTACTTTTGTTTTTATTTTTATTTTTTAAAGCATGTTTATGAGAAGATGTGTGTTCTCTTAGCCTATTAAACTGCTAAAATTGGAAGGACCTTGTAACCTAAAATAGAATCATTTCTATATGAATCATTGAAGTAGATATGCAGACTATTGGAAAATTTTAGGGAATGAAATTAAATCTTCATGCAAGACTAAGTTAATATTGCTAAATATTTCCAAATGTCTTCTACTACTCCATTAAAGTTCAGATATTTTTTCCACAAAATTAATATACACTACTAGTTTTATGTTTAGATTTTTCTAACAAAGGTTATATGGGCAAAGATAGAATTAGCCTAATTCTCATTATTACTGGGACTTTATTTATAAAACTCTACTTAAGTATGGTTTGATAGACTTTAACACTCTTCTAAAAACAAGAAAACACACGGGAGCAACAGTTAGCGTAATGGCTATGTCGCTGGACTCCCACGTAGTCGACTGCTGTTTGAGTCCTGGACCTGGTGGCTTAAACTCACGCCGGGCATGTGTGCATGCGTGCCCAAGATCCCGAGAGGAAAATGGAGGAGAAGGGATTGCAGCGTGGCCATTCCCCCGGGGGGTGATTTCTCGCTTTCTATTTCTCGGTTTCTGTCTATCTGGTGAGTGCACATGCTCTATAGCAAAAACCTCTCCAAACAAAAAACAAACAAACAAACAAAAACAAGATAACACTCTAGTTGTATATTCTGGTAACAATAAAGCTATTGGGGACCAGCAGATGGCATGACAGTTACATCACTGGACTCCCACGTAGTCAGCTATGTTTCAAGTCCTGGACTGGTGGCTTGAAAATCATGTCGGGCATGTATGTGTTCCTGCCTAGATCCCAGGAGGAGAATGGTGGAGTAGGGATTGCAGAATGGCCATACCCCCTTGAAAGTGATTTCTCACTTTCCCTCTAAAATCAATCAGTCAATCAATTGATCTATTTGAATGCCACCACTTACAGGAGGAGATACAAAATGCAGATAATTTCAATATGAAATTTCTTTCTTTGAAAATTGCAGTTTTCTTTGTCCTAGCTCTATATTGTAATGCCTAGAAGAATGGGCTATCTGAAGTCTTAATATAATTCTTGGATAATTATGGGAAATATATAACCTGTGTTTTTATTCTTTTTCTCATCTGTAAATGAGGTAATAAGAGTATTAATGTCAGAGGAATGTTCTAAAAATTAAATACATAAATGTTAGCAAAATCCTTAGAATGGCACATAAGAACTGAATAAATGTTAGCTATTCTTGTTATTGTCATGGAAATATTTAAATGCCATGATTAAAATACAAGACATTTTGTTTACAAGTTTGATAGAGCTTATTTTAAAAAGCCCTTTTAAAGTATTTATTTTAATGAGACAAAAATACCATCTTCAAGCCTGTTGTTAATGAAAATTAGAATTTTTTTTAGGAAACAAAAATGATAAGAATTTGTAAAGAAACTTTTAAATCTATGATAGCTTTTTCTTAGTATTTTGTGAAATACTTATACATGTTTTAAATAAATTAGAGTAGCCTATAATTACATTTGTATCTTTGTGATATTTTATAACATCTATGAGTAGAAACTGCATTTGCTACTGATATGATAGGTCTTCCAAGAGTTCACAGAAAGAGCCTAACAATGGCACAGAACTTACTCAATACTCTGTGAGGCCACGTGAGATGTTCTTGGACTTTCATCTGGTGACCTCTCTAAACGGACTGGGCGTGTATACAGTTATATTAGTGGAAAATCCTAAGATACTATTTCTTATGAGTAATAGTCACAGTGATTTTGATTTTGAATAACTATTAATATTTTCACTAAAAAGTTGTGATGACATATTGTATCTTTTTATTTGTATCAATAGATTCAGAGACGATGGCGAGGCTATAAGATTCGAAAATACTGCTTTAATTATTATTACTTGAAAGAGTACTTGAGAGCTGTTTCACAGACTAATGATGCAATTAGGTGAGTAATACAAAATTTAGAAAGATTGCTCCACAGATGTTGATTATTACCATATTTACAAGTACTTTCAAAAACTCAATGACATTTCAAGCAGAAATTTATCGATAAGTTATAGATATATTGATTCTATTTACTTTAAAACTTTATCATTGGTATACTTAAAATATCTTTTACTCCTGACAATAAATTAGGTTCTGTTTGTGATATAGTATCTTGTTTTTATAAAAAAGAGTTCGTTTCAGTAAAATAGTCTCTTAATGACATGCATTTATCTGTAATATAATTTTACAGTTAAATCTTCAGTTATAAGTTGTATTTTCAGCAACATGTTCAATAGCAAGAACTTATGGAACATATTAAAGGGGAAGTTTTACTGTCAGTTTTTATTTTTTTTAAAGCATAGGAAGCTAGGATATAAGTTTAGGCTATGGGATGATATTGTCTGTAAATTTGAACAAAATAAAGGTATTATGGTTCTTTTCAGTCATTTCTTTCAAAACTCTACATGTTTTCATATTACTACAAAAACTGTTATGATTTCTCTTCTTATGTGCTCCATTCTAATGATATAGAAGTAGTGTCCATGTTGCCTAAAACACATTTATATAAAAAGGAGTAGCACTGAATGATAGGTGCATTTACATAGTAATTTTTCTTTCAAAATATTTTCCATATACATTATCTTACTTTATTTTTGAAATTGTTAGAACTAGAGAGAACTAACAATTGGTAATAACTTGTTTAAGTAAAGGTTTTGCCAGAAACTTAAATACAGTATATAGTCATGAAATATCTAAAAATAAAATTACCAACCATTGGTTTTCTCACATATGTTGTGGATTTAAAAGGATCTAGTTGGAGATTAGGAATAAAGGAGTTGTTGATTTCTTTGGAATAAAAGAAACAGTTAAAATGGGCCAGCAGATGGCATGGTGGTTTGATAGGCTGGACTCCCACATGACTGACCACAGTTCAAGTTCCAAATCCCATAGCTTGAAAATCATGCTGGGTGCTTATGTGCGTCTGCTCAAAATCCTGGGAGAGGAATGGAGAAGAAGGGATTGTGGCATGGCCATCCACTCTGGGGGTGACTTCTGACTTTCCCTCTGTCTCTCTGCAACGAGCACATGCCATATGACAAAAACCTACTAGAAAAAAAAAAAAAAAAAGAAAGTTTAGTATGGAAGGGAGGGGAAAGAGGAAGAAAAAAAACAATTAAAAGTATGCTTAAATGACAAAAAAATGAGAAGCTATTTGCTGATGATAAGATATAGTGTAGATTCTTTGTCTTAACTGACATGCATGGTATTTGCAGTGGAAAAAATAATGTTGTACACTGTAAAGACACGTGACTAAATGTTAAAAAATAAAACAGAAAAGTTTTGGGAGGCTTCAGTAGGATTTAGTCAATGAGAGAATCTGGAAAATGAGTAACTTGTGGACCATAGAACTACTATTAATTCCTTCTTGAGATACCTGAAGTTCTGCAGTCTGATTGGCTGACTTGAGATTCTCAGGACAAAAAGTATGTCAATAAATAGAGTATGTGAGAGAAAAAGAATAATATTAGGGCCGTTGTCTTACATTTAAATCTTTGATCCATTTTGAGTTGACTTTTATTAACAAGGGGAAATAGGCCTCTAGTTTCATTTTTTTTTTCAGATGGAGATCCAGTTCTTCCAGCACCTTTTGCTGAAAATACTTTCTTTTATCCACTGTATTGTCTTGTATATTTTGTTAAAGCTATATGGTTTGGGATTTATTTCTGAATTTTCTATTCTATGCCATTGGTGTATATGTCAATACTTTGATATTTTGATTTTCACTGCTTCGTAACATATTTTGAAGTCAGGTAGTGAGATATGCCGCCTACTTTGTTCTTTTTGCACAGTATTACTATTATAGAGTGCCATCGAATGAATAACCACCAAAGCCAGATTAATTTTAAAGGGAGTCTCTATTACGTGGCCAGTGACTACAGTCTGAGACTGGAGGGTTGGGGAGGGCAGGGGCCGAGAGTCAGAACTGCAGCCCCAACTGAAGTCTTTTTATAAGGGTTCAGTTACCAGGGATTTCTATCCAAGCATTTACAGAAGCTGAATCAAGCAGGTTAATTATTTGTGCGGGGAGTGGGGTTTCCATGCAGTTACATTGCTAAACAAAAGGATTTCGAGCTAGTTAGCAAAGACAGTAGCAGGTTCAGGATGTCGTCCCGGATATGGTTTTCTATATGGCTCGCACGAGCTATTTTCTCATGGGAAGAGCAAGCAGGTTTACAGAAGCAGCCAGCCATGTTAGGGTAAGGGAACAAAATGGACCAACAGTTTCATGTGCAAGATCCAATACGTGGCCTTCCACATTACCTTGGTGATACAGGAACTTTTATGATTCTAGACAAAAGTTATCATTTTTTTCTATTCTGCCAAGAATGTCATCTGTGATTTCATTGGAATTATACAATTATACAAACAGGAATACATCAACCTATAAAACTCCTGTATAGCAAAGGAAATAACAATTAGAGTGAAGAGACTATCTTCTGAATGGGAGAAAATATTTGCAAATTATACCTCAAATGAGAGATTTGATAACTAGAATATATAGGGAACTCAAGCAGCTCACCTGTGGGGGCGGGGGGAGGGAGGGAGAAGAATAATCTTGGGCCAGCAGGTGGCACATAGGTTAAGGTGGCTGGATCCCTCATGGCTGACTGAGCAGCTGGGGTCTTAAACTGGCCATGTGAGAAACTGCTGGTGTTATAAACCTGAGTTTTCCAACTCTCTGAGTGGTACTTGGTTTCTTGGCAGTCAGTTTCTCACCAACATTTTTGTTTCCCTGTCAGGTAAGCCAACTGTACTGGCCCCTCAAGCAACTGGTTTGGTGGGAGGCGCCTACAGGGATGAAAGGGCCCCAGAATAGAACGAGGCAGCGCTACCTGGTCTTTTGTCAGGTCCTCCTTCATCAGGAGCCCTGATGCCCTGGAGGCAATCAACTCCCACTGGACTTGATAGACCAGACTGAGACATAGGAACCTAGTCAGGCCCACCTGATTTGGATGAATGAAGAGCCTAACTGCCTCCCATGGTCTCCCATTGGAGCCACCAGTTCTGGGTTCAGGTTGCTGCACTGTTCCCTGCACGGTCCCCAGCCAGGGATCGGCAGCTCTGGTTGCTGTGTGGGTCCCCTTGCTGGGGGCAACCAGTTGGGGACTCTCCTGGAAGGGGGAAGACATTGTGATAAACTCTAGAGTGACTCTGTGTGTGTGTGTGTGTGTGTGTGTGTGTGTGTGTGTATCAGTTTCTGTGACCCTGCAGTCTTCAGACTATGGAGTCTGAGTGGGTCCTCACCTGTGTTTCTGTCACAGGGAGGGGGATCTTGCCACATGTCCAAGAGACCCATGTGTCCCCGAACTCTTGGCTGATTTGTTTCTGTCCCAATCTTGGGCTCAAGGCTTGTCCTTTATGTCTCGGAAGATAATTGGCTACTATTAGATCTCCTCTTGTTCTGGTCATGAAAAATTTCGGGAAGAAGTTCTCTGGAGAATATGGTGTCAAACTAACCCCAGGAAATTGGCATTTATAGTCCTAACATGGTAAAAAGATGTATTCTTACAATAAAAGTTTCTGAAAGTCTAATTTAACTGGGTAAAAATTTCCATTTTCTATGGAAAAACTGGTGGGTAGTCTGACTGATAGTCTAGACTAGGTATAAAGAAACTAGTTTTCTGACTAACAATCTAGTCATTGAACTGGATAAAAATTCCCATTGTCTGTGGAAAAACTGATTGGCCTTCTGAACTATCAAGCCAAACTGAAGGCAAGAAAATGTCAGGGTTTGCATGCTAGTTAGCTTATAGCAAAATCGTTAAATTGCTAAAAATCTGTATAAAAAGATATAAATCCAATGTTAAGCATGGATGCATGGTTGTCTGATTCTTCCTGAGTCTTTCTAATAGCTCTCATTATTAAGTTAACATGCCTTGATTATGCCTCTTATTAATCTTTTAGATTTTTAGAAATGAAAGATATTGGGGTGGTCTCTACATTAGGAAATATGTTAAACAAGTTTGTGTTTGTACATGTTCATAAGCTTCTGATACAGGCTAAAAGTTGAGGTTACTAAAAATTGAAAATTCTGATCAATATAAATATATTTAATTCGGTTCATAAGCTTAGTAGCTCCCTAAGGAGATATTAGATTCCCTAGGGTAGGTGAGAAAAGATAAACGTGGATAGTTAGTAAAAATTTCTTTGCAAAGGCACTCCCGTTGGAAATCCTCTCAGGGAAACCCAATTACAACCCACCTATCCTCCAGGCTAAAGTACTCCAGTTTCCCTGTCTGCACACTTGCTTACCAAGCAGCACAGGATCAATTTAGACAGGTCAGCCATTTAACTGGCTTTAAATGGGCCTTTGTATCAGGAAGAGAAAAACTGGGAAACCCTTGCCCAGGAACTTGGTAGGGTGGGAATCTCAAGACACGGGATGAGAGCTTTGCGCAGTGGCAGTATCGTAGCCAATGAGGTTTATCCGAGGCGCGATTATTGCTAATTGAAGACACGGGATGAGATGAGTTAAGGCTGGAGATCCTGGCTGCATTCTCCCTTCCTGCCTTCTTGCACTCCCTCTGTTCCATAGAAATGAAGGTTTAAATTAAAAATTGTATTCTCCAGGTAGAGTTTTTGTATAATCAATAAAGCAGATGCAAACTGGGCTCTGCCCTCCTGGCTGAGTTAAGACACAGTCTAGGACAAACCAGGTTCCTTACTTCTAGGTCCCCAGGAGCCCACAGTCAAAATGAAGGTGTGTGAGGCCAACCAATGATGTTTATGGTAGACACTGGCTCCTAGGCCACCAGAACTTTCTATCAATCCCAGACATGTATTTGCAACAAATTTGATGCTCATTGGCAAAGGTTGCCTTGCAGCGTATGCCTCATCGCTGTCCCCACCTGTAGTGGAGCAGATCATTATCTGTTTAGTGTGGACAACCATACTGAT